GAGGCCGGGCGGCCGCAGGTGCTGCGTGTGGGGGGCGAAGAGCGGCAGGCCACCGTGCGGGAGCTGGCTCCGGGGCGCAAATACAAGATGAACCTGTACGGGCTCGGCCGGGACGGGCGCGTGGGCCCGGTGTCCACTGTGGCCGTGACTGGTGAGTGGGGTCCAGTTCTGGCCCTGGGCCCCCTGCCTTGCCCTGCTTTGTTCCCTGTGGTTCTGGCCCCCTATCCCAACCTCCTGGCTTCCCACACATCCAGTGCTGCTGCTGGCCACTTCCTCGGCCTGTGCGTGGCGGCCTGGCTGTCGACCCCAGACCCCTGCGTGAGCAGCTCCGCAGCACTCGTTACCTTCTCCCTCGCATCCTCCTCCTCCCTCATGGGGATTCTAGAGCCTCAGGCTTTGCTCCAGATCCGGCTGCCTATGCAGTTGTGCCCCCGCTCTGCTAACTGGGATTTTGCCAGCCTGGCCCTGACCCCTGCAGCCCCGGTCCCGAGCATTAGGAGGTCCTCACAGGTGTGGCACTGGGCACTGAGGCTATGAGGCCCTCAGTCAGGCCTGGGCAGGGCCAGTCTGCCTCACAGCCCAGGGACTGCACCCCCGTCCTACCTGCCTTCAGCCCTCTCTGCTCCGTTGCAGCCCCCCTGCCCACAGAGCCCCCGGTGGAGCCCCAGCTGGGGGAGCTGGCTGTGGCTTCTGTGACCTCGGACACAGTGCATCTGTCGTGGACGGTGGCCCAGGGCCCCTTCGACTCCTTCCTGGTACAGTACCGGGATGCGCAGGGCCAGCCCCAGACAGTTCCTGTGAGTGGGGATCTCCGCGAGGCCCGTATCCTGGCTCTGCACCCAGCCCGGAAGTACAAGTTCCTGCTCTTCGGACTCTTGGGCGGGAAGCGCCGTGGCCCCATTTCAGTGGACACCAAGACCCGTGAGTGTGGGCGAGGCTCCAGCTAGGCCCTGTCACTGGCAGCCCTGGTGGGATTCCGGGTTTCTGCCCCTCAGACACCCTCAGGGCGCAGTGATCCTCACGTGTCTTGCATCCGCTGAAATCTCACCTGAGCTTCCCTCCTCCCTGCACTGCCCTCCTCCCCACATCCTGGGAGCACTTGCCTTCTTTGCTACCACCACCCCACCCTGTGCAGGACCCCAGAGCCACAGCACCCTAAGAAGCAACTGTTTCCTTCGCTCAGAGTACTGCTCTGTTTTCCAGTCCCTGACGTGAAACCCACACCCCGCCTGGGGGAGCTGATGGTGACTGAGCGCACCCCTCACTCCTTGGGGCTCTCGTGGACCGTCCTTGAGGGCGAATTCGACTCCTTCGAGATCCAGTACAAGGACAAGGATGGGCGGCCCCAGGTGGTGCCCGTGGCTGCAGACCAGCGCAGCATCACCGTGCCCGGCCTGGAGCCAAGCAGGAGGTTCCAGTTCCTGCTCTACGGCCTGGCAGGCAGGAAGCGGCTGGGCCCCATCTCTGCGGATGGCGTCACAGGTGAGCCCAGGCCCTGCTGCTTCTCTGGCCTCAGCCTGCCAGGGACATTTAGTCTATCTTTGGCATTGGTGTCATGCTCAAAAGGCCAAAGTAAGTCCCTCTGATGTGCAGGACACGACCTTGAGCCTGTCATGAGCACTGTGTCCTTTACTCCAGGATGTGCAGGGAGGGAAGAGCCCAGAATCTGGGGCAGGCCGACCTTGGTCAAATCCCAGACCCAGTGGTGCAGCCACACCTGAGACCGTGCCCCCCAACTGTCTGGGGGCCGTGAGCAGCCCCCCTGGCCCTCAGCCCCAGCCTGGGCAAGGACAGAAAATGAGGCAGGGCCTGGCTGACAAGACTTCGGACAAACCCTCTGTCTCTCGGCCCAACTCAGCCCCTAGCAAAGGTTGGGCGGGTCACTGACTCCAGGGCTCCCAGCCTGTGGTCACTTGGGCTGGCCAGAAGGGGCCAGGACACTGCTCCGTGCTCCTCACTCTCCCTGGAGGCCACGCTTGGGGCCCTACTTGCCGTGGGCCCCCAGCTTGGCCACCTCCACCTCACCGTGGGGGAGTCTCCCTGTGTGCTCATTCCGCCTCTGCCTCTGCACCCCAGAGTCCTGGTCCCAGGTTAATGCAGGCTGGGGAGGCAGTGGCCGCGGAGGATGGCCAGGTGGTGGCCATGGGTTTAGGGCAGCCCACTGGACGGCCTGGGCCCGCTCTCCTCCTTGGGGTGTCGCTGTGCAAGCCTCCCCGTTTCTTTTCTACTACCAAGGATTAAATCCAGGGCCTCTGGAAGAAACTGCATCCTCAGCCCCTTTCTTCGAGACAGTCTCACTATGCATTGCAGGCTGGCCTTGAGCTCACAGAGATCCTCCTGCATTTTTTAAGAATTACTTTTTAGGCCTCTTTCATTAATGAGATGATCTTTGATGGATGCACTGGACCCTTGACCCCCATGGGAGTGGGTGGGGGCAGGAAGGGCTGGGCAGCAGCCCCCAGAGGGGAGACTGGACCAGCACAACTCCACTCTGTCCCCAGGCCCTTGAGTGGGGGGCCTTGACCAGGTGCCCCCGCCCTCTTTCAGCTCCCCTTGAGAAGACCACACCGTCCCCTCCCCGCCTGGGGGATCTGGCCGCCAGCACAGAGACCTCAGACACCCTGCGGCTGACCTGGACAGTGGCCCAGGGATCCTTTGACTCCTTCCTGGTCCAGTACAGGGACTCAGATGGACGGCTGCAGGTGGTGCCTGTGGCCGCAGACCAGCACGAGGTCATCGTGGAGGGCCTGGAGCCAGGCAGGACATACAGGTTCCTGCTATTCGGGCTCGCGGGAGGACAGCGCGTGGGCCCCGTCTCTGCTCTGGGGGCCACAGGTGAGGCTGCCTGCTGGGCCCTAGCGAGGGGCGGAGCCTGGGGGCTGTTGTGGCTCTTCAGGCCCAGTGAGCAGGCAGGGAAGGAGCCACGCAGGGCTGGCAGGCGGAGGTCCCTGCCGTGTCCCACTGCTGCCGCTCACTGAGCTGGCCCAAAGCAGGAGCCGCGCCAGGCCGCAAGCAGCAGTGGCTCCCTACTCTACACACCTCACCCTGCACAGCGTGAGCTGGCTGCCCTCTTCCTTCTAGCAAGGCAGCCTTGCCCAGCCAGGGCAAACCTCCCGGCTGGCTCCAGGCAGGGCAGACAGGGATGGAGGAAGGAGAGGGAGAGGCCCGTCAGGCCTCGGCCCCAGAGACCACGCTTAGTTCTAAACTCATGTGTGGACAAATCCGTGGGTGAATATCATGATCTGTGACCAGTCACCTCTCAAAAGCTGCAGCTGTGGGGGCTGGAGAGATGACTCAGTGGAATAAGCGCTTCCCTGGCAAGTGCAAGGGCCTGAGTTCAATCCTCAGTTCCACAAAAAAAAAAAAAAAAAAAGCCACAGCTGTAGTCACGCGAGGCTCTGCAGGGCCAAACAAATAGAAGCCCTGACGACAAAGACGCAGCCGACGCAAGAGAGGAGAGGTCCCGCAAGAGCGTGTCCCGAGCCACCTACCAGGATCCAACACTAAGCTGCAATAAAAACTCAGAGGGACAAAGTTTAAGGAGAGGAAAACACTTTATTTATAAAGAGGAAAAGAGGGGGAGGCAGGAGAAGATAGGAAGGCACCCTGAGAAGAAGGAATTGGGAGGGGCTCTGGGAATGTGAGGGCCCTTGGGCCCTTTGCTGTCAGATGCTTTTGCAGGGACTGAGTGACCCTTCACCTGGAACTCGTCACTGGCTTGGCTTCCGGGCATCTCTGCCTCATGTTAATTCTTCCATGTGCAGCCTCTGTCTGTTGTCCTTGATGTACCTTTAAGAAGGCTTATCTTTGGGGTCAGTGGGTGTTTGGCAAGGGACCACCTTGTTCACGGTTAGCTTATAGTTACTAAGGGGTCTGTGGGTATCTGTCCCACACTACAGTGACCCTGAGGTGAGTGGTGGCTCCAGAGGATGTACACGTGGACGTGTGTGCACTCGTGTGCAGGTGTGAGCACACAGTGGGCCCCGCCTCGCTTCCCGCTGTTCTGTCAGAGGTGGGGGCGCCTTCGTGCCGGTGCCCCTGCTGTGTCTCTGGGCCCAGTCTGTCAGCTCCTTTGCTGGGCTCTGGGTGCAAGCCCCAGGACCATTTGGTGCCTTTCTTTGTCTGGTTTTTCTCTCATTTTCTGCTCCTGCCCTTGGATTTCTAGACAGTTTGGCGCCTATTCTGTGTCTTGGTCTCCTGCCCTGAGGCCTGGCCTCCTCTCCCTGGCGGGTGTGCCGGCCTTGGGCCATCCCAGAGACATTCTCTGGGGGGCAGGAGGGAAAGGGCAGAGCCCCACTCCCCCTGCTTACCTTCTCCCCTGGCCTTTCCCACACAGCCCCAAAAGAGGACGCCCCAGACCCAGAGCACCCCGAGTCCCATGAAGCCCCTCGCCTGGGGCTGCTGGCGGTGACTGAGGCCACGCCAGACTCCCTGCGCCTGTCATGGAGCGTTGCCCAGGGCCCCTTCGACTCCTTTGTGGTGCAGTATGAGGACACAGATGGGCAGCCACAGGCCCTGCTAGTGGACGGTGACCAGAGCAGGGTCCTCATCTCTGGCCTGCAGCCTGGCACTTCCTACATGTTCTTTCTCTATGGGCTCCATGGAGGGAAGCGCTGGGGGCCCGTCTCGGCGCAGGGCAGCACAGGTACCTGGCCTCACCATCCTCATCTGGCTTGGGAGGTAAAGGGGTGGTCCTGGGGCAAGAGCAGGAACGGGCACCTGAGGAGGTGAGGCCACACAGCTTGTCCTCCTCACATCCACGGTGCTAAGAGGGAGGCCGATGGGCTGGGAGGCACAGGGAACTGCCCCTGACCACCAATCTGCCTGTAACTGTCTCCAAATCCTTTTCTGACACCTGCTTCTCTGCACAGGACCACCTCCTGCTGGTCAGACCCCCGGAGACCCGGGGCCACGCCTGTCCCAGCTATCGGTGACTGATGTGACTACCAGTTCCCTGAGACTCAACTGGGAGGCCCCACTGGGGGCCTTTGATTCCTTCCTGCTCCGCTTTGGGGTGCCAATGCCAAGCACCCTCGAGCCACATCTGCGTCCTCCGATGCAGCGGGAGCTGATGGTGCCTGGCTCTCGGCGCTCAGCTGTGCTCCGAGATCTGCGACCTGGGACCCTGTATAGCCTCACTCTGTACGGGCTGCGTGGGCCTCACAAGGCTGACAGCATACAGGGGACTGCCCGGACCCTGAGCCCAGGTAGGGTGGAGCACCGCGGGGCCTCTGCCTCTTGCCAGCAGCTGGGACCTCACCCCCCACCACAGAGGGGCTAGGGAGTGGGGATGGGAGCAGCCTGCAGCCAAGGATGGGAGCTCAGAGGAGGCGGAGGTGGGGACCCTCTCCGGCAGCCACCTCTGCCGCTGCATGCCTCATCACTCTTTGCCCCTGTGCCCAGTTTTGGAGAGCCCCCGGGACCTTCAGTTCAGCGACATCCAGGAGACATCAGCCAGAGTCAGCTGGACACCACCACCATCCAGGGTGGACAGCTTCAAAGTTTCCTACCAGCTGGCAGATGGAGGTGACACCTTGGGCCCCTGTCCTTGCTGGCTCTGGCTTCTCTGGCCCTTCGCCCTACCCACCCTCCAACTGCTCTGGCTTCTGGGGTGACCTCTCAGCTGCTGTCCCATTTCCAGGGGAGCCACAGAGTGTGCAGGTGGATGGCCGGGCCCACACCCACAGCCTGCAGGGGCTGACCCCGGGTGCGCGTTACGAGGTGACTGTGGTCTCCGTGCGGGGCTTTGAGGAAAGCGAACCCCTCACAGGCTTCCTCAACACGGGTGAGGGCTGCACCCAGGGGTGAGGAGGGGGCACCAGGCGCCAGGCTGGTGGGGCCCAGGGAGGCTGAGGCGGGAGAGCAGCCCCTCCTCTGAGCCCTGGTCTCCCCCAGTGCCCGACGGTCCCACCCAGCTGCGTGCGCTGAACCTGACTGAGGGATCGGCCCTACTGCACTGGACGCCGCCGCAGAACCCTGTGGACAAATACAGTGTCCGAGTTACAGCTCCAGGGGGTGAGCGGGCAAGGCACCCTTGGAGGGGCTGGGTTGGGGTGCAGGAGCCGGGTAGTGGGGGAGGCAGGGGCAGCGGGGACAGTGGAGGCCGCCAACTGACAGCTGCCTGCTCCCTAGCCCCTCCGCTCCAGGGCTCGGCCCCCGGCATCGCCGAGGACTACCCACTGCACAGCTTGCTGCTGCACACCAACTACACGGCCACTGTGCGTGGCCAGAGGGGCCGCAACCTCACCTCGCCAGCCAGCGTCACCTTCACCACCGGTACCGCCGGGAGGTGGCGGGGAGGGGAGGGGAGGCTTCGGCCAGCAGGACCTCACTGCAGTCTCTTCCCGCCCCTTTCCTGCCAGGCTTGCAGGCCCCCCAGGACTTGCAGGCCAAGGAGGTGACGCCACGGACGGCCCTGCTCACCTGGACTGAGCCCCCAGTGACCCCCACAGGCTACCTGCTCAGTCTGGACACCCCTGGCGGGCAGACCCAGGTGCACTCCCAGCACACCCGGGGTGGTGCAGGGTACCGCCCGTGGCTCCCAGTGTCCAGCCCTGACCGGCCTTTGTCCATCCACAGGAAATCCTGCTCCCGGCTGGGGTCACCTCGCACAGGCTTCTTGGCCTCTTCCCCTCCACCCCCTACAACGCGCGGCTGCGGGCTGCGTGGGGTGCGAGCCTCACGCCGCCGGTGTCCACCTCATTCACCACGGGTACAGGGCCGGCCTGGGCAGGGTGGCCTGGGCCTGCCGCAGGGGGAGGTTCTGGAAAAGACGGTCCCTGCCTCCCCGCAGGGAGCCTGCGTGTGCCCTTCCCGAGGGACTGCGGCGAGGAGATGCAGAACGGAGTCGGCGCCTCCAGGGCCACCACCATCTTCCTCAACGGCAACCGCGAGCAGCCCCTGAGCGTCTTCTGTGACATGGAGACCGACGGGGGCGGCTGGCTGGTGGGTAGCGCAGGCCCGACGCTGGGGGGCGACGCCCGACACTGACCCGGCCCACCCTCCTCTTAGGTGTTCCAGCGCCGCGTGGACGGGCGCACGGACTTCTGGAGGGACTGGGAGGATTACGCGCACGGCTTCGGCAACATCTCGGGAGAGTTCTGGCTGGGTTGGTGCCTCACCGGGCAGGGTCGGGAACCAGGGTGGGGTTGGGACCCCGGGGACATGAGGACCCTACGAGGCCCCCTCGCCCGCAGGCAATGAGGCTCTGCACAGCCTGACGCAGGCGGGTGACTACGCCATGCGAGTGGACCTCCGGGCCGGGGACGAGGCCGTTTTCGCCCAGTACGACTCCTTCCGGGTGGACTCGGCCGCGCAGCACTACCGCCTGCACCTGGAGGGCTTCCACGGCTCTGCAGGTGAGCAGGGGCCCGGCCCGGGGAGCCCGCGTGGAAGCCTCTGCTCATGCCTTCCGCTCCCGCGCAGGCGACTCCATGAGCTACCACAGCGGCAGTGTCTTCTCCGCCCGTGACCGCGACCCCAACAACCTGCTCATCTCCTGCGCCGTCTCCTACCGCGGGGCCTGGTGGTACAGGAACTGCCACTACGCCAACCTCAACGGGCTCTACGGCAGCACAGTGGACCACCAGGTGAGAGCGGGGGCAGAGGGTGGAGTCGGGGTGGCTGGGGCCTGGCATGCAGGGCCCCCCGGGAAGTGGGTCACAGATGCTGACAGACCTGGCAGGGCTCAGGAAGGTGGTTTATTGGGTGGACAGGGCCAGTTTGGGATTGAACTTCAGGACCTTGGGGCTGAGGGCAGGAAAGTACAGGGAGGCAAAAGGTGGATTTCTGAGAGCCTCCCTAGAGAGAGTTGGGTGGGGACAGAGGAGATCCCAGCTCTGACCACGCGGCCATCTTCCCCAGGGAGTGAGCTGGTACCACTGGAAGGGCTTCGACTTCTCAATCCCCTTCACGGAAATGAAGCTGAGACCGAGAGGCTACCGGCCCCCTGCCCGGGGAGGCTGAGCGGCCGCCACCTCTCGCGCCCAGCACTAATGCCGAGCACTGAGGGGTCGCGCCCGAGGAGCTCCGGGAGGCCTTCTCTGCCCGCGATCTCACAGCACCATGTTTACAGGGGGGAGGGAGGGATTTGTATGGGAGCAATAAATGAGAAACTGAGGCTCTGGCTGCTCTGGTCCTGCCCATCACTGGCCCTGGTGCAGGCCTAGGGCCCCCCGGGCTCTGGGCTGCAGTCGCACCTGAAAAGGCTGTGTGAGGAGGTTGACACTGGAGAAGGGCTGAGGCTGCAGCGAGGGCAGGGCGTCCTCCAGGGGCAGCAGCGTGAAGGCCCTCAGCAGGGAGGTCAGCACCACGAAGAGCTCTAGGCGCGCCAGGGGCTCGCCCAGGCACACGCGCGCCCCGCAGCCAAAGACCAGCTCCCGGGGACACCTGCCTGGCTGCAGGAATCGGTCTGTGGGCAAGAGGCGGGTGCGTTGCTGGCGACAGGTCAGGCCCCCTCCACCCCACGCCACCCTGGCTCCCTGCATACCAGGCCAGAACTCGTGGGGCCGTTCCCACACTGTCTTGTCCAGGTTAGCACCTTGTATGTTAGGGATGATCATTGTGTCCTTGGGGATGTCATAGCCGAAGATGCTGAGGGAAGATGGAGTTAGGGGCAGGCCAGGACCCCCCAGGCCTTCTTAGCACCTGGCCCTCAGAGTCACCTGCTGGCCTGGGTAGAGCGGTGGGGCAGGGCCAGGGGCACCACAGGGCGCAGGCGCATCACCTCAGCGATGGTGGCATTGAGCAGGGGTAGCCGTGTGCGTTCTTTGTACGGCAGTGGCGAGGTGGAGGAATCAGACCCCAGCTCAAGATCCATCTCCTTTTGGAGTCGGTGCTGAATCTAGGAGCAGGGTCAAGGCTGGAGTCCAGGGTCCAGCCTCAGCAGAGCAGCCTGGGCCCCCGTAGCCCCGGGCAAACCAGCAGGAGAGAGCCGGGGCGCACCTCGGGGTGGTGGAGCAGGAAAGCCACAGCCCAGGAGAGTGTGCTGGCTGTGGTCTCTGTGCCACCTATGAAGAAGTCCACGGTGGCCATGTGCACGTGTCCTTCCCTGAGCTGCCTCGAGCCCCAGTCTTTTTGGTGTTGCTCCAACCCTTGGAGCATGTAGTCCAGCATGTCCCTCCACTGTCCGGCCACCATACTGTCCTGCGGAGGACATGGAGTGAGGTCTCAGCCCATGGGCGAGTGCTGCCCAGCAGGCAGCCCGGCCCAGTGTGCACTCACCTGGTGCTGCCTCAGCTGCTGCACCACAATGTGGTCCCTGGCCTTCACCAACCGCTTCAGCCTCCTGATGCTGGGGTTGGGGAAGAACTGGGAGGCGGGGTCAGCTCTGGGGAAGGCCGTTCCCAAGCCCACCCTTCCAAGGGTCTGGGGTATCCGGTCTCCTCCTTACCCTGAGAAAGGGAGCTAGCTCCAAAATTTGGATGGACCAGTGGCTCCAGGCAACCATCAAGTCGTTGACACAGTTGTAAATGTTCTGGACCAAGGTATCCTCCTGCCAGAGAACAGTGCTTTCAGTTCTGGACTGAGAGGGCTTTGGGGGATGGGTTTTGGGGGGCAGGCCGGCCTGACCTTGCTTCCAAAGGTGAGGATGCAGATGATGCTGCAGGTGAGCAAGGAGAACTCTTTGTGGATGTCCACAGGGGCGCCGGCCTGGGCCGCCAGGCGCTGGAGAAGGAACAGGAGCTGCATGGGCTGGTGGGATGGAGGCCTCGTGGGGACGGCCGGGCGGGCTGAGGGGCTTGGCCTCACCTCACAGAACTCCTGGGTCAGCTGCTGCACCAGCGGCTCCATGGAGTTGCGGATGCCCAGCAGGAGTGCTGAGCGTGAGAGTTTCTTGTGAGCCTTCCAAAGCTGGGAGTAGTCCCCGAGTGACAGGTCTGGGTAGTTCTGACACACCAGCTTGGCTGCAGTAGGGGACACACCGCGGTGGGGTGTGGGCTGGCAAGGGCCTCCTGCAAGAGGCCCTGTCCTCCCCCAAGGAGTTTCCCGGCCCTTACTGGACTGCAGCTGGGGTCTGCCGGCAAAGTCCACCCACTTTTTGAGCATGGCCTCCTCAATGGACTGCCAGGAGTTCAGCACCACCACATCTGCGGGAGAGTGAGCCAGCTCACACAGCCCGGAGGGTGTGGGCGGGAGAATGGCTGGCCTGCAAGCAAGAGGGGTGCAGGGCAGGGCGGGCACTCACCCTGCAGCCCAAAGCGCAGCCTGTAGATGGGCCCGAGCTCTTGGGCAAGGCTAAGCAGGTAATTGGGGAGGTAGGGCTGAAACAAGTGCAGGAAGCCAGGGGCCAGGGGTGGCAGGTGCAGGTGCCGGTGTGTCCACTGGCCCCAGAGCAGACAGGAGCTGGCCAGCAGCAGCAGCAGCAGCAGCAGCAGCAGTAGCCCAAGGGGCAGCATGACTGCAGACCCAGCCGCGGCCCTGGGTGTTGCTTTTATCTCGGGCCTGGCCATCCATCTTCCGCTGGCACTGTCATGGGCTGCTTGATGTCTCAAGTCCTGCTGTCACAAGGCCAGACTCACGGGTATGGGGGCGTCATCTGTTCCAGAATAGCATGCATCCGGCTGGCCTTGGGGAGCTTGCATTTCAAAAACAAGTGAGCCATCCCTCTGCCCTTTCTGCAGTCAGAAGTCAGAGTCAAGTTTGTCAGCCCGCCGCCAGCAGCTCCCTGGCCAGTCCCGCCGAGAAGAGCTCAGTGGTGGAAAACGCCAGTCCCTGCCAGTATGCCCTCCAGGACTGCTGGGGGCCAAAGGGAGGTGGAGATGTGTGGGGTTTTCCTTTCTTCCTAGATGAGATGGTTTTGTCCCCAGATATGGCTGGCCTGGAGCTCTGCCGCTCTTCCCAGCCCCTCTACATCAAGGGTCCAGAAAAGGAAGGGGGTGGGGTCCCCGTGTGCCAGCGCCTGGGTGCACAGCACTGCGGACTCAACCCCCGAAGTCCATGCTGAGCACATACCACTGTTGGTAGCCCCATTTCACAGATGAGAACTCAAGGGACAAGGCCGAGTGGCTAGCCCAGGGCACAGCTCGGCGGCAGCAGAGCCAGGACCTGGCAGGTGGCAGGCCACAAGGCCATAGAATCAGTACCTCTAGGCCACGCCACCAGGAGGTCTGTTTTGGTGATGAGAGAAGGGGTCAATTTGAGCTGGCTTGTGATAAAAATGAAAGTTCTCATATGAGCCAGGAGTGGTAGCACACACCTGCTATCCCGGCACTGAGGAGGCTGAGGCAGGCAGATCACTATGAATCTGAGGTCACCTGGGCTACATAGTGAGACCCTGACACAAAGAAAAAACCATGCTGTGAGTTCAGGGGTGGCTCACAGACCCTGAGAACAAGGAAGCAGAGGGTGGCCCTCGGAGGGGTGGGACAGAAAAAGCCCAGGCAGTGGGCAGCTCCCTTTCCTGTCACCCCTCCCCTCCCAGAACTCAAGCTCCTTATGCCTGCTGACCAGGTAGGACAGAGCTGCCCTCAGAGCACAGCCAGGGAAAAGGCGGCTGCCTAGCATGCCGGAGCATGACCTCTACCCCAAGAGCCTGGAGCAGCTTGACAGCCACAGCCTGCATCGGACAGCAAGCCGCCAAGGCCACAGCCGGCTCAGGCCCGGCCCTCCGCTGCAGCTGCACACAGGAGTGGGGTGCACTGGGCCAGCTGAGGGCAGGGACCTTCCAATAAGGGCTTATGGAAGGGACTTAGGGAGGGGCCCTGAAAAGAGGGGTGCAGGGCTCAGGAGAGGCAGGGGTGCTGGGAGGTGTATGAGCTTAGGCTGCACCCTGACCCTCAGCGGGGGGTCCTGCTCCCCTCTGAACTTTACTCGGAGCTCAGGCTCTGCCACTGGCAGCTGAGCAGGACAACTGTGCCATCCTCGGGGCCTGGCTGAAGAGCCGGCTTGTCCTGAGTCCATGCCCAGCCCTGGGAGGGAAGAAAGTGGAACACAGCTCCTGGGGCCTGCCAATGACAGCTCTGTCCTCTTTGGGGTCAGCCTGTGGGCCTGGGTGGGGGACCCTGGGTCCCAGGCCCTGAGGGCGGGCTTCACACCACTGTGGCCTTGAGGCAGGAGACCCTGCGGGAGCTGTGGAAAACTGGGGCTGGGAAAGGTCAGAGCTTCCTGAGGCCGCAGAGAGAAGCCTGGAAGGCAGCCGCTATAGTCAGGGCTTGCAGGGGGAGCAACACAGCACAGGACACATCATTTATAAGAGTCACCCAAAGAGGCACATACAAAGAGTGCAGGAAATCTGGGCTCCTGCTGGCCCCCCACCCCCGTGCGGTCTCCTCCTCCTGCCCCCAGTTCCCTCCACACCTGCTCTAACTCTTCAGCCTTCTGGACACATCTTAGATGTCATCTCCCCCGGGAGGCCCTGCTGCCATCCGGGGCACCCTCTTCCTCTGGGTCTCAGGCCCCACAGGACCTCAGCTCACGCATCCACACTTCCCGCCCGGCCCGGCCTCATGTCTCTCCCAGAGGAGGCCCTAGATGCACCACTGTCACTGGCACCTGGCCCGGGACACAGAGTGAGGGCTTCGGGAGCCTGCAGAATGCTTCACAGCAGGTGGTGGAGCTGCCCTGGGACTCCCACACACTGCTCGCAGTGGATGGCCATGGAAGGATTTCCAGGCCACCCCTCGACATACCACAGGCACCCGAGTAGTGGGGGAGCCAGGCAGGCGAGTGGGGCCTTGGAGGGAGAATTGGCAAACGCCCCGCAGCCTTCGGCCTGCAGAGAGTAAGTATCACAGTGAAGGTGCAAGACCCGGGCTCACTGAGCTCCGGGGAGCTGCTGAACGCCGCTCTGCTAACCCAGGGCCACAGCCAGCAGAGGCCAGCACTGCGGGCTGCGCAGAAGGGGGCAGGCAGGAGGGGGGCGGGGGGCTCATGAGCAGAGGCGCGCCAATGCCAAGGTGACCTTGGGAGCTGCCCATGGGAGGCCGTGGGTGGGGCTCGGTCCTGGGGTGCAGGCCATCGTGGTCCTGCAATGAACTAAGTCCTCCTGAGCCCTCGGAAGTGTTAAGACAAAAACGGATTCCCCAAGGCCGAATGCAAGGTTATACCAACCCCGCGGGGCTCCCCAGCACGTGGATGGGTGGCGGGGTCCACACTCAGTCTAGAGACACAGCTGACATTTTGGCAAAGGCCTTTATTAGGCTCCCAGCCCGGCCGAGCACACCTTGCCCACTCAGACACCTCACACCTGGCACCCAAGGGTGCTGTACTCCTGGATGAAGTCGCGGAGCTGGGCGCAGGCTGCGCGCTGGCGAGTGCTCCGGCACAGCCGCTCTGAGGGCATCTCCTCGATCCAGGTGTTGGAGTCCAGCAGGTACTGGGGGCTGCAGGGCACAGGCAGGCTCTCAGCAGGGCCACGAGGCCAGGCACACGGAGCAGAGGGCAGGAGACAGAGGCTCTGGGCCCCAGGCCGGGTCAGATCTGTGTGTCCCCCACCGCCACCCCGTGACTCACTCTCCCTTGAGGTCATAGGTGGCCCCATCCAAGCCCATGATCAAGTATTCCTTGCTGGGCTCCAGGCGGAGCTGGCAAGAGCTTCGAACCAGGAAGTTGCGGGTCTGACCTACAGCAGCCTTGGCATCCTTGGCTGCAGGATGAGGGGTGCAGAGCGTGAGCAGGAGCGGCCGGCCTGGCCTGCGAGAGCCCTGCTGCTCGTGCCCAGGGACTGCCTTCCTGCCCCCACTCCCACGCCTCCCTGCGCCCCGGCCCGTCCTACTGAAGTGCAGCACTTGGGTGATGCTGGTCTCGAAGAGGCGGAAGGCTGCTCTGCCGTCCTCCCGGAGGACGCGCACCTGGAAGCCTGGGGGCGGGACAGCGAGGTGGTCATGGAGGCCAGAGGCAGTGGATGCGGGCCTGTGGCCCGGGAGAGGAGCCGGGCACTCACCATACTCCACGCGGGGGTGGTAGCAGGCGAACTTCATCCTGTATCGGTCCTCGTCCTGCAGCCCCCGCTCCAGGGCGCGGCGCTGCCTCGGGCACCTCCCTGTGGGGGCATGTTTGTGAGGACAGGTGCGGCACCACCCGCCCCACCAGACCTCCTGATGCCCGCCTGGCACCTCACCTTCCGCACACTGGCAGACGTCCCCGGAGCATAAGGTGGACAGCAGCTGGCTCTTTCTTGGTGCCCCATAAAACACAGAGCACCTGCGCTCTGAGGCAGGGGACACGGAGAGTCAGGCAGGCTGCCCTGCCCTGCCCTGCCCTGCCCTGCCCTGCCATGCCCTGCCCCTGCCCACAGCCGCCTTCCACTCCAGCACTCACCCGGGCTATAGTAGTCGTATAGCACTGCGGTGGCAGGCTGTACCAGACCCACTGCCACCTCCTGCACAGCTCCAAAGCCCACGCATTCCCGGGTGGTGGGTACCTGGCACCAGGACAGCGGGAAATCAAGGCCACCTGAAGGCCATCAGGGTCCTACAATCATCTCCAGCATCCTTCACATTCTGTCCTGTGCCTGGCACCAGAGCTCCAACAAAGCTGCCAAGGCCCCTGATGACTTCACTTCCCAGAGCGTGGCCCAGCCCTGGTCTTGCTACATGGGGCCCTGCAGCACAACTGGGTCCCGCGGCACCTCCCCCAGCCCTCTCCCTGTGCCCAGAGTTCCATGCCCGGCCTCCGTCAGTCCCTTCTGGGCCCACCACGCCAGACTGAGCTCCTGGCCTCAACCTTGCAGCAAGGTCATGGCAGGACTTGTGCCGGCCTTGTCCTTATCACTGGCGCCACTGAGGCCTATGCCATCTGCTGTGACACGGGGAGTCTGCCCTACTCTGCCGTGTCTCACAGGTCACCCTCTTGGCTTGGCCTTGCTTACATCACAAGTTCAAAAGAAGCCTCCTAACACCGACGCCACAATCCCAGCGCTCCCATGCATGCCCATGTCTCTGTCCCCACTCACCGAGTCAAAGTAAAGCAGGACGTGGGGCCCCTCCGTCTCAAAGTGACTCACATAGCGGTCAGAGAGGGAGGTGAGCTGCGGGAAGGGGAGGGGCTTTGGGTCAAGGCCTTAGGCTGCATGTGTCAGGTTTGGCACCTGGGGGGCCTTTGGGGACCTCAGGGGCTCCTGAGGGGAGGGGCTGCCCTGGGCGCTGACCGCACCTTCTCCAGGTCAGAGTGCAGGGCGCTAAACCCACTCAGGAGAGTGACGTCCGCGATGGCCATGCCCGACAGCTCCGCCTTGCCTTCTCGCCTGTGGAGAGACGTGGCCTACTACGGATCCCGGGCAGTGTCCAGCTCTAACCTTGCCCTGGCCCCTTCCTGGCCCCCACCCCAACCCTGGCCCTGGGCACCCACCAGATGCACACGGTGTACTGCACTTTGGACTCCTGCTCCTCAGCCACCTTGGGGGCCTCCCTCCTGCGGCGGTTTCTCCGCCCCTCAAACAGCTGCAGGGGTGTCACGGGCTGCGCATGGGCACCTGGATCGTCCCCAGCCTGAAACTCGTCATACTCATAGTCCACCTCGTAGTCCAAGTTTGCTTCCCCTGCACATAGCAGTGCTGTGAGGACGGCTGGAAGCCCTCGTGTGCTCCAAGCGCCACCCCCTCACACTCCGAGCCCCCCTCCCCTCCCCTCCCCCAAGCGCTCTGAGCTCCCTCTCCCCACCCACGAACTCTGAGTCTTCCCCTGCCCTGTGCGCTCCGAGCCCCCCCCACTCGGA